TGTCTTCAAGCCCCGTAATGCATGATGAGATTTATCTAAACTTCAAATGTTTACATAAAGTGGAAAAGCCTATTTAATTAAAAAACATACTTAGCAGAGGCTGAAGGAATGGAGTTATCTGCAGTACCACAGAACAGTTACTGTCTATCACCTTAAGGATTTATTGTATTTGAAATAAGCTACATCATAACAGTCTGTGAAGAACGCTTTTAAAGAGAGGAAATGGTCCCATTCAGGAAATAACAATTTTTTTTTGTATTCTTTGATACATAGTGGGGGGTAAAAACATAAACACACAGACCAAAAGTATAACAGTTTACATGGTCTTCCTAGTTTTATTAGCCCATTATTTAAACTAAAGAAATTACTTGAAAATGAAAGCACACAAAAGCTATTATGTGTCTAGTCTGCACTAGAATAGTCATTTAGAAAAAGTATTCATTTAGAAAAAGGTCACTACTGGACTCCAACGCACTATTCAATAAGAAAGGTTTTTATATCCACACCCACATCCCATTCTGCTCAATAAGCATAAATACCACTACCAGACATTAGATTAAAAACTTAAATAAAAAGATCATTCTTTTTTCTAATAAAAAGCAAAGATAATGCAAATTTTAAAAGCCTGAATATAGTAATAAGTTCTTAAAGAGTCTGTAAGTTAACTATGAAATCTTTAAAACAATTATGTATCCAAAATAACTAATTTAGAACTATAATTCAGATAGTGTCAACTAATGCTTCATTATGATTAAAAAAAATGGGTAATTAATCTAGGAAGCTAAAGTTCTGTAATTTAATGGTTTATAAAGGAATGAGATAGATAAACCTTTAGGGAGATGGGCTCTAAAATGTGACAAACATGTATTTAAATTACCAAGAAAGTATCTGCACAGATAATACCAGCTGTTTATTTAAATGTGAAAGCCAAGACAGTTGGCTTTAAAGCATTTACCCCGAACCAAAATACTTAAGAAGTCCTTACCTACTTCTGAACCTCCAGATGTATAAATTTTGCCTTCTGCGGCACAGGCGGCAAGGCTGTCTCGAGGTGTCGGAGGGCCCAGTTTGGAGTACCAGCTATCCTTCACCACATTGTAACAGTCCATTCGCTTTATCGGGAAAAGCTGAGAGCCTCCCAAAATGTATACTACATTGTCCCAAAACACACACGCTGCATCTCTTCGTTTTTCAAAGGGGCAGCGGATGTCTGTCCAGCTGTAATCCTGTAACAGAAAAGGACAGGAAGATTTCAGTAAGGAAAAAATATAATTGAAAAGGACAATACAAAGATATAGTCAAAAAAATATAAAATAATATGCTAATTTTATTAGGCTACACATACAAATGTTTGGCTTGAGAGTATTACCAATTTAATCTTGTGTGATTTCTGCAGAATGTTGATTACCTGGGGCAGAGGGCAGAAGGCAGGCATATGTGTGCTTTGGGTCCTTTCTAGCTCTAAAATAAACTTAGATATATTTGATTACCACCACCACCCTGTCTTCTATTCCTTCTTTTATTGGAGATAATGCAAGAAGATTAAAAAATAAGTTGTTTCATTATTTTTAAAAAGCCTCTTTTTCAAATGTAAAGGTCTCCATCCTATCCCTGCCAGATTATACAGTGTGATATAAATAACCAATGGATAACATAAAGCTCAAATTGCCATTATCCTACTGATAACCTAAAGCCAGAAAGTATTTTGTGGACTTTATTAATTTTCTATATTCAGTTGAGCCAATGTAGTCAGCTGGACTCTTAACACTGTTAATGTTTATGAGGAAATACTTGAATAACCTGTTCTGAGTACTCTGGATACTCACTTTTCTCCCCAACAATTAGAAACATACACCTATCGCTTTGGGAGGCCAAGGTGGGCCGATCACAAAGTCTGGAGTTCGAGATCAGCCTGACCAACATGGTGAAACCCCTGCCTCTACTAAAAATACAAAAATTAGCCAGGCATTGTGGCAGGTGCCTGTAATCACAGCTACTTGGGAGGCTGAGGCAGGAGAATCGCTTGAACCCAGGAGGCAGAGGTTGCAGTGAGCCGAGATTGCACCACTGCACTCCAGCCTGGCGCCTGGCGACAGAGCGAAACTCTGTCTCAAAAAATAAAATAAATAAAATAAAATAAAAAGAAATATACACCTATCAGTACTTGAGGGTAAGGGCTGTTCACAGCACTTGTTTCTTCACTATGTTTGATAGCATCCAAGAGACCCTCCCCTTTTTTGAGAAAGGAAGCTACAGTGTTCTTGCTATTTTCTGAAAATAATCAGGCTCAGATAGGAATTCATACCATTCCCAATCTCACCAAGCAAAGCACTACGTGTGAATATTAACGTTGAGTTTCCTTTGAGAAAACTTTGGTAACCTATGATCGTATCCAGTGTTTCAGGCATTCACTGAATTAGATCAAAGTAACACAGAACATCAGGAATAGTCTCTTAGGAAAGGAAGAGCCCCTAATGTAGAACACTCTGATGCCTGACAAAGATATATATTCTGCTTTTTAGGTGACCTGGTAAACAGAGCCTTAATAGCTTAAGATTTTATTCTCAAGTTAGGATCAACAGGTGGACACACCAAACAATGGGATAAACATAACATGCTCCTGAGACTTCAATTCCACTCAAAGAACACTTGAGAAACTGGGGGAAAATATTTTTACTTGTTCTCTTGGAGAAACTGTATACTACAGAATGAAACAAAGAGATAAAATAGTAATCATATTGTACAGAAAATAATCCCTCAAAGATAAACTAAATCATTCTCTTAAATGTTCTTCACATCTACTCATAATTCCTATTTGATCAGGTTTATGTAGCAAAGAAATGTGATTTCATTAACTGCATTAACTTAGTGAATCTCAAATATTTTCACACTTACCCCTAATTTATTTGACATTTATTACTGGAGAGCTATATGGGAAACTTCCTTTTTTTTTTTCTGATTACAGTACCTGGATAATGTATGTAGTTGAGGGAGGGGAAAAGAATAGATGGAAAGTCATCTGCTCAGTGGGTATGACTGTTGGGCATTACCCTAGTGATGAAACTAGATCTAACCTGGGCTTGCAGGTGAAGGCAGTTCTATTTATTGCTCCCTGTACTACTAGGCTAGAGGGAAATTGAGAGGAACACAGTTTTTGTGTTAGAAAGAAGATGGACAAATAACATAGAGTCATAGTTGGGAAGGTGTATTTGTGTGGGCAGGGTTAAGGAACTGTTACCCTAAAAATATGATTTAATTCAGTTAAGTTTTACTGAGTATCTATTCCATGAAAGTTCTTAGGCTTAGGTGCTGTGATGTGAACATGGGAAAATCTGAAAGCCTGGAAAAGACATAGGTAGAAGGATTTCTTAAATTTTGACGTATCTCTCATTATACAAATGTACACATATAGACGCATCCATGTATAAAGTCTTGTCTTCCTTGGTCCTGGTCAGCCTTTCTTGCCTCTGCTGTCATAGGCCATGCTATACTTTTTTCCAAGCTCAAGACTGCTTTCCTTTTTGTAGACTTTCCTGATTTCCTTCTTCTGAATCCTTACCACTCGAAGTCCAGACTTGATGACTGAGCACTCCATTATATCTTGTCCTGTATGATTTTCCAGCTGTAATAGTTCTCATTGCTCCTGCAAGAGTAAAAGCTCTGGGCTGGGAGCAGTGGCTCACGCCTGTAATCCCAGCACTTTGGGAGGCTGAGGTGGGCAGATCACCAGGAGTTGAAGACCAGCCTGGCCAACAATCCCTGTCTCTACTAAAAATACAAAAAAATTTGCTGGGTGTGGTGGCGAGTGCTTGTAATCTCAGCTACTTGGGAGGTTGAGGCAGGAGAATCGGGAGGCAGAGGTTGCAGTGAGCTGAGATTGTGCCACTGCCCTCCAGTCTGAGCAACAAGAGTGAAACTCTGTCTCAAAAAAAAAAAAAAAAAAAGGCCGGGCGCGGTGGCTCAAGCCTGTAATCCCAGCACTTTGGGAGGCCGAGGCGGGTGGATCACGAGGTCAAGAGATCAAGACCATCCTGGTCAACACGGTGAAACCCCGTCTCTACTAAAAATACAAAAAAATTAGCTGGGCATGGTGGCGCGTGCCTGTAATCCCAGCCACTCAGGAGGCTGAGGCAGGAGAATTGCCTGAACCCAGGAGGCGGAGGTTGCGGTGAGCCGAGATCGTGCCATTGCACTCCAGCCTGGGTAACAAGAGCAAAACTCCGTCCCAAAGAAAAAAAAAAAAAAGAAAAGAGTAAAAGTTTCCTGGGGTGAAAAGTTGTAAATATTTTCTCTAAGTGCCTCAAGGCAAAAGATCAGTGCGATATTTTCCTTCAATGTAAGGGCTAATTTTACATAATATATTCTGAAAACATAGAGATTCTCAAATAATAGAAATGCTGTAGTAAAAATCAAGGCAACCACAATCCAAAAGGAAATACTTTTCATTTTTAATCCTTGAGAACTTTATTTTTGATCATTTTGAGAGAAAATCAAGGAAGACAGAGTCTTACGGAAAAAAGAAAGCAAAATTATCAAAACTTTAAGATTTCTTACAGAAACCACAGGGAATTAATCCAACCTAAGTTTAGGATGACCAAATTACAAGTACTTTCTCTTAAGCCATTATCAGGTTTATCTTAGTTTCTAAGGGCTTTAAAAAAGGTCATACACCTATGGTGACAATCTACATAAAAAGCAGGTTTATGCCAGATGCCAGAACATTCCTAGAAGTAGTTTCATCAGAAACACATAGAAACACTTTTGGCTTCATTCATTTTACAAGGACACAAAGAATGTAGTTCAAAGGAACTGGGAAACTTGGGTACAAAGCTAGGCTCTGTATGGAGGAGCTATGGATCTCAGTTAGGGTCACTTAACTTCTAAGGGACTTCAGTTTCTTTATCTGTACAACAAAATGACTGAAATAGATGACCAAAGGTCTCTTCCCTTTCAGTCCTATCATCCAGTGATCTTAGAATCCAAATGATTTAGAATGTATCCATAGCCAAATAGTTACTATTATTCGTTAATTAAGTACTTACCTTTCCAGGAACTATGCTGAAATATTTTAAAACATCATCTTATTTAATTTCTTTAATAACTCTATAAGATAATATACTCATTTACAGATAAGAAAACTGAGAGATATTAAGTAACTTATCAAAGGTTACATAGTTAGAAAATGGTGAACCCACGATCTAAATCTAAATCCATCTGACTCCAAAGCTGGGTCTTTAGCCCCTATGCTGCCCTGCTTCTCTAAAAGTCTTACATGGCCTACTAGAAAGAACACAGGACTGGTAGTAGAGTGATTTGGGTTTCTCTTGTCACTGTTGTGTTTCTAGTGAAGTGATTCTGGGCACTTGAACTGCCATTGTTGGATCTCAACAGCCTCATCTATAAAATCAGGAGGACAGCAGGATGGCTGCTAAGGTCCTGCACAATCTCCCTATCTTATCTCTTATAAACACAATGCTCAACCACTAAAAGTACAGCTGCTATGAAAAGAGAGGTTTTCTCCATGTGTTTGTACAGTATTTGGCCCAGGGCTCAGCATACTGAGGGAATGTTCTCATTGAGTGGATAGTTCACATGTATCATCTGGTTGGGCCACCTTCATTTTTGACTTTGCAAAGGTCAGAGACTGAAGATGCTGCACTCTGCTCCTGGTTTGTACCAGTTCTTCACTGCAGCACTATCTTTACATTACACTGGCTCTCGCTGGCATCTTGTCACTATGGCTCCTGGTTCTGTGGTGGCTGCACCACTGAAGACCAGGGGGACCTGTAACCAACCAACCAGCAAGTACCTGGGTTAGGGGCCAGGTTTTCATCTCCTGTTTTTGTAAGTCTAAATAGTTTCCACTTTTATCCTTTGTTAGAGCAGTATTCTCCTAGGAATTTATCCTGAAGGAAAAACTGGACAGTGTGCAAAGCTGCCAGATATAAAGATGTTTCACTGCAAGAGTATTTTAAACAGAAACCTGTAAATCAACCAAATGTGTTTGATGAAGATGGGTATTAAATTATGGTATATCTTTGTGAACGAATACTCTACAGCCCTTCAAAAGGATGATATTCTCACTGATGTGAAAATATCCCCCTAATAAAATGGTGAGAACAAAATATATTTTGTGAAATAGCATGTAGGTGTGATCCTGTATTTGTAAAATGTGAGGACTGAAATGTTCACTAACTACTGATGACTGTCTTTGGACACTGGGAGCACTTTGGCTTTCTCCTTTATATCTTGCTATATTTGAATTTTCTACAACAAATATATATATATATATTTTTAAAAACAACAAAAATGCAATGAATGGTACCAGGAAAAGAATTGCTTTTCTCAGAAGCCTATACTAGTGCTAAATGTTTTAACAGGAACATTTAATTAAAACTAATTTAAAGGCTTTAAGAATTGAGAAACACAAATAGCTATTATATTATGAGACTAAATTCCAACTACAGGACAGATTAGAGGCAGTCCTTGCTTTCCTTCCAAATAGCACATTCTTAAGGGCACTCTGGTTTTCTATAAGCAAATACTTGATCATGTCAAGTAATTCCACCGGATGTATCCATTTTTTGAAATATGCTCATTTTCAGTAAAGTACCACAAATGTTACTGAAAACATATTAGCCTCCTGAAGTCCAGAAAGAAATTTAGTAATCAGCCACTAGGAAAAACACTCTTGTAACTAAAATTCTTCAACAACAGTAACATTGTAGCTCAGCAGCTTCTACAGCTGGGGAGGAGGAGGGTATGCTACTGCAGACTGCTAGATAAAATCAGGCTTAATTAGCAACAAACAATAAACAAATGGGCATTTCTTAGCTGTTAATGATTAGGTAAAATTAGCAGAGTCCAAAGTGAGGACAGAGGCAAACTGAAACGGAATTAGGAATCAGTGCTGCTCCATAAAGTCACAAAATGTTCTTCCCATCTCCACTCTCAAATTAAAACCACACCATGAAAAAAAAAAATTCAAACCTAAGCTACTCTAAAACTCAGTCATTAAATAAAACTCAGTCTAAAGGTGAATGAAGCATCACATGGATATTATGCTTAATAATAGTACTTGTCCTTTGAGTAGAAATAACATATTAGGAAGTACATAGTATCCCTGTGCTAGCACCTTGCCAGTTTTCTCAACAAAAGATTGTCTTTAAATGAACTTTGCCATACATTTTTAAATCTTAGCACAGCAAGGTATATTATGCTTTAAATTATCTCAAATCCCAGAAAGCAATCGTATACTCATTTATAAAATGTTCTCACCAATAAAAAAAACATCTACTCTGTGCAGGGTACAGGAGATGGCCCAGGTGTCTGGAAGAGTTCAGAAGATTAAGGGAAAAACAAAGTGGGGAAGATGGTAAGCATTTTTATATTTAAATATGGGAAGATTAGAAAACCTAAGGTGGCAGGGGAATCTGACAGAGGAGTGAAGGAAGAGCAAAGAAATGAAAAGAGTCAGACGAATATAACTGACACCCACATAAAATCCTGACAAGATTTAAACTTTTTGGTTTTAGACCAGAAAACTGGTTTAGAAAGGCTGATGGCAGAGCATTGTGGCGCAAGCCTATAATCCTAGTACTTTGGGAGGTCGAGGTAGATGGATTGCTTGAGCTCCGAAGTTTGAGACCAGACTGGGCAACACGGCAAAACCCCATCTCTACAAAAAATCTAAAAATTAGCAGGTGTAGTGATACACTCCTATAGTTCCAATTACTCAGGAGACTGAGGTGAGAGAATGCTTGAGCCTGGGAGATTGAGGCTTCAGTGAACTGAGATCACATCACAGTACTCCAGCCTGGGTAACACAGTGACAGCTTGTCTTGAAGAAGATGATACACACACACACACACACACACACACACACTCTCACACAAAGGAAAAAAGGTCTCCGCCAGGCTTGGTGGTTCACGTACTATAATCCCGGTGCTTTGGGAGGCCAAGGCAGGAGGACTGCTTTAGGCTGGAAGTTCAAGACCAGCCTGGGCAACATAGTGAGATCCTTGTCTCCACAGAAATTTAAAAAAAAAAAAAAAAAAAAAGCCAAGTGTGGTGACACATGCCTGTAGTCCCAGCTACTTGGGAGGCTGAGGTTGGAGAATCATTTGAGCCCAGGAGCTTGAAGCTGCAGCAATCAACACTGTACTCCACACTCTGTGACAGAGCAAGACATTGAGACCTCACATACAAAAAAAGACCATGACTAGTCCTTCAGCTCTTCCATCTATGTCTAATTTCTTTTTTTATAGTGCAAAGTCAAGTTAGATTCCATTCAGTTGTATAATACTTATGGGGGCTTTAATGAAAAATTTTAATAATCATACTTACCAAGTCAAGATGCATTCATACCCAGGATTCAATATGCTTTTAAGTCTTTTCTCTTTCTTCCTACCCAACACTACCAATAAGTCTCCCTCAATAAAACATCCATGAAACTTCCACAGAGGCTTCCTGGTTGACAAATCCAACCCAGGGAGCTCTCTTCTTTCTGTACCACCAACACAGTCATTGTCTACCACTTATCAGGACAATTAATCCTTAAATTGAGCTGAGGTGCTGACCTCCACCTCTGTGCTAACTGCTGTGCGATGTGTATACCTCATGCACTGTGTGTGTGAGGACAGGGTCCTGTTGTATGTGTCTTTCATATCCCCCTGCTGGTGTCCAACCCTCAAATTTCAAATCCTAGATGAACCATGATATTGGTAATATATGCTAAAATATTTGCTTAAACTATACTTTTACCACCAGCTAACCACACTACACATCCTGTTGTTAGTAACAGCTAATGATAATTATCTCTTATACCTGGAACACCACATTTTCAAAGAAAACAATCCATTCCAAATCTAACTGAATATGATGACAGATCTTAATGCAGCTCTGGGTCATCATATGAACAATTACTAAAGGTAACCAATAGAATTATTGGTTACATGATCTAGTAAAGAGTACAAATTTATCTCCTTCCCCGTTAGTTATCCTCAACTTGACTTATCCCTTTATCCCTGTGCTCATGGGCCCACTGCTCTCCAGCTACCTCCCAAAGGCTGCAGTCCCTTAAAATCCCACCCCAGGCCGGGTGTGGTGGCTCACACCTATAATCCCAGAACTTTAGGAGGCTGAGGCAGGAGGACTGTTTGAGTCCAAAAGTTCAAGACTAGCCCTGGCAACATAGCAAGAACCCTGTAGTTACAAAAAATGAAAAAAATTAGTGGGGTGTGGTGGCAATGCCAGAAGTCCCAACTACTGGAGAGGCTGAGGTGGGGGACTGGTTGAGCCTGGCAGGTCAAGGCTGCAGTGAGCCATGGCCATGCCACTGCACTTCGGCCTGGATAACAGCAAGATCCTGTCTCAAAAACACAACACAACACAACCTCAGGGAGATATCATTCCCATTTCCCTCACTTCTTCCCATTTACAGCCTTCAATCAAATATGTGCAACTCTCTTTCTACTCTCCCTGAGTCTTTTTAGAGTGCTGATCTGTTAATTTATGATAATTAAGGCTAGCTGTGGCTATGAAGAATGAGTTAATGATGTCATAACTCCCAGTGTCAGTCATATTTTTCACTGGGGGTTTCTTGCAGATGCAGTGACATAACACAAAGGTAACAAATCTTTGAAGGTGGGAACTTCAGGCACTGTACCAAGATGGGGTGAAAGGGGCTGTGAAGTTGAGTTTAGAACAAAACTACAAATCAGTGTGTTATGGAGGTACTTGAAAAGAAATTGAGATTCTCAATATTCCTATATTGAAAGACATTCTAGGAAACAAGAGGATATAACTGAGAACTTACCTCAGGATGTGATCTATTCTCTTTAAAACATGAAGATCACCTAACCAAACTGCCTTCAAAAATCAGGGAGAACACCTTTCATGCACAAGCTGCAGAGGAGACTGATTTTTTTTTTTTTTTTTTTTTTGGGACGGGGTTTTTCTCGTTACCCAGGCTGGAGTGCAATGGCACGATCTCGGCTCACCGCAACCTCCGCCTCCTGGGTTCAGGCAATTCTCCTGCCTCAGCCTCCTGAGTAGCTGGGATTACAGGCACGCGCCACCATGCCCGGCTAATTTTTTTTTTGTAGTTTTAGTAGAGACGGGGTTTCACCGTGTTGACCAGGATGGTCTCGATCTCTTGACCTCGTGATCCACCCGCCTCGGCCTCCCAAAGTGTTGGGATTACAGGCGTGAGCCACCGCGCCCGGCCTGATTTTTATCCCTGGGTGCCCATGATGCTGACAATTAAGAAAGCTTAAGGGATACTCATGATGACCCACACTTGCATCTCAACAATGTCAGTTGCTGGGGCTTGCAACTAGACGTCCGATTGCTGTCTATTTTAGATATTTTCTTCCTGTAAGTGCTTCTTTCTGATCATTGTAGCATTTTTACTTCTGTGTAGTACTTCTAGAACTCTTTGCTGGTGACAAACACTACTGATATCCTGTTATAAAATTCTCAATTTTTAAAAATTTAACACCATTTTCCTTTAAAGGTTTACACTTCGTTTATGGACATGATCTTTTAAAATCATACCAGTTTATAACTGCTGATTTCCGCCATGATCACAGGGTGAGACTGTTTCCTCCTTAGTGAGGACCTGTTTAAGAGGGAAGGTGGCTATGATACAGGCACTGCAATACCTTTAATATAAAATATTTCTGACAGGAAAATGTGTCCCAAGTTAAAAAAATAACTTCTTTTTCTTTTATTTATACCCCTCTATATTTAGATCCAGTCTTTTTTTTTTTTTTTTTAAGACAGGTTTCACCATGTTGGTCAGGCTGGTCTTGAACTACCGACCTCAGGTGATCTGGCTGCCTTGGCCTTCAAAGTGCTTGGATTACAGGCGTGAGCCACCATGCCCAGCCTTAGATCCAGTCTTATAAAACTAACTGAGAAAATTATATAAAGTTATATTGGTTCATTCATCCTTATAAACTTACATACTCATCCTGTGCCAGGCACCAAGCTCAGTGATGAGTTTACCTTAGAGTTCTAAATATGCAAATATACCTCAGTATAAACCTTCTTATCCTGGTCGTTCCATGAAAAGGGTGCCATATGGTTTTCTGCGTTAGTAATTTACAGGCTCTGGCCATCGCCCTGCTATTCCTACTACTAGTTTATTGTTGGAAGGGAATACACAGAGTCCCCTTTTCTCCAGGGGATAGTCTCCCATTTCTCCACCATATGAAGCCAAGATCCTTACAAAGCCCCAGTTGATCATTTCACTGGCCGGAGGAATCCAAATAAAAACTGGTCACTTAAGTCAACTTTTATTTAGGTATCAATATCGTAAGACATTACCATGCTACAAATTAAGAACACCAATACTAGTATAAATAGAACACTGAATACATAACTTTTAGAAATTACTAAGCACTTGAGAATTTAAAAACAGATACAGGATGGGAAGGGGCAGCTTGACAGGCTTTATAAAAGGATGATAACAAGAAAAATATCATTTCAATTCAATATAGCAACCCAAGCCTTCTTTTTCTGCTAATATTCAAAAAAATTAAGATTTTTCTTTGCTAAAACTTTTTAGTCATCAATAAAAACAAATATTTGCCTCCTGTCACCAATAAAATACAAGAACTATAATTGATGGAATGAAAATGTTTTTATTGGTAGTTCATTCCTCAATTATTTGAATTTTTCCATAAATTTTCAAAGTGCAATTAGGAATGAGTCATTTATAAGAGCAAGGCAAGACAACAAATGAGAATTTTGAAGTTACAGTCTCACTTCCAGGCTCGTGTAGAATATCCATCTCTTTTCAACTGTCCAATAAAAAAAAAAAATCAAGGAAAGAATTAGAACTACAGACTAAAAGTAAAGTGCTAAGAGTCATCTCACATTTGCTTTATTCTAGGAACAGTGCTCCCTGCCTCCTAAATGAAATTGGAATTCTTCTTGCCCATCTGTACATCAAAACAGCTGTCTACTTTATTTTAAAATAAAATATTTTTCACCAACACTTGTCTTAATTGCTTTTTAACTGCCAAAATCAACACCATAGTTAGGCTTTGGGAAACAAATTGGGCGTAATCATTATTAATACCTGAAAGCTGTGGTTTTTAGAATTACAATTTTTTTGTTTTGTTTTTTTGGTTGCTGTTCTCTTGTTGCTCAGGCTGGAGTGCACTGGTACGATCTTGGCTCACTGCAACCTCCGCCTCTCAGATTCAAGTGATTCTCCTGCCTCAGCCTCCCAGGTAGCTGAGATTACAGGCGCCTGCCACCATGCCCAGCTAATTTTTTGTAGTTTTAGTAGAGATGGGGTTTTACCATGTTGCCTAGGCTGGTCTCGAACTCCTGACCTCAGGTGATCCACCCACCTTGGCTTCCCAAAGTGCTGGGATTACAGGTGTGAGCCACTGCGCCTGGCCTCACATTACAATTTAAACTATCATTTCAGTTTTTGCTTGGAAAAAAAAAAAGTTTATCATTTTCATGTTCTTCACTCAAAAGAATCCTGAAAAATTAAAAAACAAATAGCCATTGTCAGTGTCCTTACAGTGAGGACACTGTGCTTACTGGATATTACAGAGACCATGAATTCTCATGGCACCTGCTAGTCACCCAGTCTTCTATTGAAAAAGCCAGATTTCTTCAGGTAAAAAAAACAACAACCTATATTCTGGAGATGAAGGAATAGGCCAGAAATCAATATCTGAGCCAAGAGCCACCCAATAGGGACAGTCCAAATATGATGGTGATTAACCAATCTAAATGATCCTCCATCCTTGTTGAGGTGATTTTGCTATCTGGCGGCAGATTTTGCTCTATGGGTTATGGTGTTAAGTGCTATGTAAGAAAGAGAAGCTGGGCCGGGCGCGGTGGCTCACGCCTGTAATCCCAGCACTTTGGGAGGCCGAGGCGGGTGGATCACGAGGTCAAGAGATCGAGACCATCCTGGTCAACATGGTGAAACCCCGTCTCTACTAAAAATACAAAAAATCAGCTGGGCATGGTGGCACATGCCTGTAATCCCAGCTACTCAGGAGGCTGAGGCAGGAGAATTGCCTGAACCCAGGAGGCGGAGGTTGCGGTGAGTTGAGATCGTGCCATTGCACTCCAGCCTGGGCAACAAGAGTGAAACTCCATCTAAAAAAAAAATAAAAAAATAAAAAAGAAAGAAAGAGAAGCTGATGGAAGCCTTCTCTACCAAAATATAAGAGGAACTGCTGCCTTGGAGTAACTGTTGAGACAGGTAACTTTTTTGCAACAGGACCAGATGTGGTCTTCTTACTGGATCAGATTAATATAACCAGAAAAACCTGGCATATAGCTAACACTTTTGCTAATGCATATTTCTGTTTCTATCTACCCAGACCATTAGATTGAATATCTTTTCAGCTGGCAGGGAAAATTTTTAAATGGCATGGTCTGACTTCAAGGATCCCTTGACTCGTTAGCTCCATGCCATAATCTAAGCTGCAGGCATCCTGGACCATCTCACCTTCCCAAGGTCACATACTAGTCTCCTATGTTGATACACATAATGCTAACCAGTTCTGGAGACCAGAAAATGGAAAGGATCCTATATGTCTTGGTAAGAAATGTGCTTGACAGGACAGAAGATAAGTTAGCCTAGAATACAGTGCTGATTGCATCGAAGTCCCTAGATGTTCTCAGGTCTAGAGCAGAGGTTGGCCAACTATGGCCTGAAGGCCAAATCTGGCCCCCTAGCTGGTTTTGTAAACCAAGTCACCTCCCAGGTTCAAGTGATTCTCCTACCTCAGCCTCTCGAGTAGCTGAGATTACACACACGCACTGCCATGCCTAGCTAATTTTTTTGTATTTTTAGTAGAGACAGAGTTTTACCATGTTGGCTAGGCTGGTCTAGAACTCCTGACCTCAGGTGATCTACCCACCTCGGATTCCCAAAGTACGGGATTATAGCCATGAGCCACCGCACCTGGCCTGTAAATAAAGTCTTATTGAAACGCAGTCATGACCATTTGCTTATGTATTGTTTATGGCGGCGGTCTTGCTACTGGGTAAGAGAATGGATGGCCTGCAAAGCTGAAAATATTTACTCTGGCCCTTTATAGAAAAGTTTGTGAAGCCCTGATCTATAGCATGTTGGTATAACCTCTTGGAAATGAAGGACAGCTTGCTGCTCCCAAGCACTCCTACATATTAGAGATGGCATATGGTTATTACACTTCTGGGTAAATCGAAAAGCTATCAGTTACAGGTAAAATCTAGAGTAGGAGAAATATTTCTCTTTTTTTCTTGAGACAGAGTCTAACTCTGTTGCCCACGCCAGAGTGCAGTAGTGCGATCTTGGCTGACTGCAACCTCCACCTCCTGGGTTCAAGCAATTCTCTGCCTCAGTCTCCCAAATAGCTGGGATTACAGGTGCCCACCACCATGCCTGGCTAATTTTTTTGTATTTTTAGTAGAGACAGGGTTTCACCATCTTAGCCAGGCTGGTCTTGAACTCCAAGACCTTGTGATCCACCCGCCTCAGCCTCCCAAAGTGCTGGGATTACAGGCGTGAGTCACTGAGCCTGGCCGAAGAGAAATATTTCTAGGTGGAACAGGCTATAGTATTATGGTTCAGCTGCCGTGACCCTGGGGCATTAGCTTGAGGCATGTCTCGATATAATCAGAGCATGCCCCAAATTCTGGAGCAAGGCCAACCTCCTTTATACAGGTATCATTCTTTCAGTAGACAATTCCCAGCTGGCCACGAGGCTCTGATGGTAAATGTCTGACACCAAGGAAACCAGGTGACCATGTCATTAGTCCATCTTTAACAATTTTACCTGACCTGCCTAGCCACAAATACAGCATGCCTTCAACCAATAATGTAGCATGTAAATGCAAGACTGGGCTTACAGAGGTTTCAAAGGCACAAAATACCCAAATAGGTTAATGACAGTCCTTATCCAGTAGCCCTTCACCTAATTCACTATCTTTCCACCTCAATCAGGACTATGCTTTCACAGAAGTGTTCACTATACATCAGCTAACAAATTTGAGAGGCCTGGGTTTGGTTCACTTTTGATAGTAATAGCCAATAACGAGTGGCAAAAGCATTGTAGCACCCCCTCAGGAATTGTTTTGAAGGACAATATGAAGGAAAGTGTTCTAACTTGATAGAATTCCAAGCAGTTCATTTTACTGTCCGTTATACCTTTTAGGAGAGAAAGCCTAAGGTCAGTTTTTATCAAGTCCTGAGCAGTCACTAGTGGTTTATCTAGACGGATGTAGGTTTGAAATAATGCTCTGGGTCTCATCAGGTATCTAGCCAACCAAAAATAGGTTTGCAAAATGATGAAAGAAATCATTATGTATGGGACTCCATGTTTGGATCCCCTTCCACAAACACTCTTGTGCTCGTGGAAGCTGTTTTTCTCTATCTTGGATTTTCCCTCTGGAGTCCCCTTCCATGAATACTTCCTTCGTGGAAGCCCGTCTTCTCCTCCCAAACTCCATCTCTCTCTCTATTCCCTTCTACTCAGTGTGGAAGCTGCTTTCCTCTCCTGGATTCCACCTTTCTGGATTCTCTCACTCAATTAAAAAAAAAAAAAAGATCATTATGTGTTTGGATTCAGCACCACTTATGGATACCACCTTGCAAGTCTAGGGTGTTATCCTTTAGAATTGTGGTGTTTGCTCTTCCCCAGCAATACATATAGTACCAGAAAAATATGGTATCCTTTCTCCTACAGCCAAAACACACAGGTCTAAGAAACAAGGAGTAGAAATATCTCAAAAGGGTGTAAGTAATGATCTATTGAAAAAAATTTGTATTTTATACCTATGACTCAAGCTCTCTTGACCCAATTGGCATAATATAATGAAAAGTTCACTAAACTTGGTGATCATTTCTAAATGGTTCAAATAAAGGTCATTTAATCTTTTTTCTTTGTGGTTTTGTAGGTTTTCCAAATATTCTAAAATATGCATTATTTCATATTAAAATTACTAAGGAGAAAAAACAAACAAATATAGCCCCAGAAGCAATTTTCATTGAAAATGGTAAATAAGGAAAGGAAGAAGTTGTATGAATGCAAGGAGCTGCTGACAAAAAGAAGTCAGTAGAACTAGCTTCCCTTTTTGACAGTGGTTACTATGCAGCATTCCAGAACAATTAAGGAAAAACATTTGGAATGTGACTAAGCCTGATTTCCTTACCTGTAAAATGATCTATGTATCTCATAAGGTATGTGAAAGAACACCATAAACTAACATCTTTAAAGGTATGAGTTATTACTCCTTGTGGTTAGTGTCTTATGGTTCAGTGATTTCAAAAACAACAAAAAACAAGAATAAAAATTAGTTACCTTTGGGTTAAAATATCTACAAGACTGTGGTTGAGAGCCTCCAAATAGCGCTATGCGGTAGTCATGTTTCTTTCTTCTAGGTCTTGTGCCATCTACAAGTTCTTCTCGGTCCTCTGGAGACAGGAGATGGTACCTCATTCCACCTGTAGTAAAATACACAGCAACTCTTCAAGAACTTCCGGCACTAACCAGTGCTTTGAAAAGGAAATACCCAGACATAACAGTGTCTTTCAGTAATCTTTTATCATCTTTCTATAGCATTTGAGGAAAGTGACGGGAAGAGGAAGGAGAAGTAAAAACCTGAGTACTAACCAATTCATTATTCTCAGCAATCACCATTATTCTAAGACTGCCCCACCCAGTAAGCAACTTACTATGTAACAGTGAATTATCTGGCTCCTCAAGCAACAGGTGCCAAAATAATAATTATTGAAATCCAGATCTCCTAACCCAGTGGTTCTCAATCTTAACTGTACATTAGAATCACCTAGAAAATCTCTGAAACTATTTATACTTGGGACCTACCACAGACCAATTAAATAAAAACCTCCAGGTAGAGTCTAGGAATTGGTATTTTAAAGGGCTTCTAAAATCTTGCCACTGAAAATGTGGTTCAAAGACCAGCAGCTTCAGTATTTGGGAGTTTGTTAGAAATGCTGAATCCCAGGCTCCATCCCAGACCTACTGAGTCAGCATCTGCATATTTAACACCCCATAGTAATTAGGATGTACATAAAACTTTGAGAAGCACTGTCTTACATGACTAAAAATGCAGTAAGGTCAGAACTATTGTGATCTATCACAATCCTTTTCCTTCAGCAGTTCCTTAATTTTGTCAGTGCCACTTAACAATCAAAAACTGTTAAAGTATCACTTCAAGTCAGTGTGGGAAAGGTGGATTGTCTATGTTAGACAACAATATGAAGAAAGAAATTATACCTCCACCTCGTATCTCGCTCTCAATTCCAAATCAGTAAAAATCTGAATATATTTTTAAAATCTCATAAATGTACTGAAGCTTAAAAAGAAGAAGAAGAAAAAAAAGGCCCAGAATGGAGACGCCTAAGAATGACCAAAAACATAGGAGCCAGAAAAAAATGAAAAATGTTCAGACTTAACTGTATAAAATTTTAAGTTAAAATAGTATACAGCAGAAATAAAAGGCAGAATTAAAAGATGACAAACTAGGAAATTATTAATAATAAAAAATACTATTAAAAGACATTTTATTAATTTACGAGAATTACCAGCAACTTAACCAAAAATTAGGTAAAGTATCTGAATATAGTTTACAGAAAAAGAAGTATGAATAACTCTTAAACATATGAAAAGATGCTTGAGTGTTCCAGTTAAAAAAATATAAATTAAAGCCACACTTTTTTCACTTATCAGATTGGCCAAGATCAAAACTGCCTCGATCATAGGATATAATATGGTTGTATCATGGGAGGCAGCACTTTCTTCCATTGATGGTAGGGATGTGGATGGGTATAACCATGGGAAGGGTGATATAGTCCAATCTACAAAAATTATAAGTGTACATACCCTTAAACCCAGGAATTCCCTTTCTAGGAGTTTATCAACCTAAAGTTCACTGTCAGGAAAGTGGTTAAAAATTATGCCATGTCTATACAATAGAACATTACATGTGGCTGTTAAGATGAGAAAGGTTAGTATGTATGCATGGAATGATCTCCAAGAAATAATTTGGAATAAAAAAACGCAAGATGTAGAACAGTATGCAGAGCGCAACACTGTTTGTGTTAAAAATGTATATTTTATGCAACGATGCACATTTTATTATGTAATTTATACATGGATATATAAGTAAATGATTATATGTACAATCTCAAGACTACCTCTGGAAGGGTATATATAAGATAATAATGTTAATCTCCAGGGTAAGAGAACCAGAGTATGAAAAAGATGTATAGGGAGACTTACTTTTTACGATGTATCCTTTTAATACCTTTTGAATTGTAAAATATTATCAATCTAAAGATAAAATCAGGCCATTTTTGGGCTGGAGTGCAATAGCGCCATCACAGCTCAGAATAACCTTCAACTCTTAGGCTCAGCAATCCTCTCACATCAGTCTCCCAAAGCACTGGGACTGCAGGCCTCAGCCGGCATGGCTGGCCCCAAAATACCTGATACATGCAAAACATTTCTATAAATGCGGCTATGTTGGGTCTGTATACAAAGGATAGAGAAAGGAAACTCATTCAGAGAATAGTTGGTGAATTAATGAACATCTTCATCGGTATTTATCATTTCTCCCATTGCAGTTTGAGCAGAAGCTCTTTTGCATTTAACAGCTGGATATTTCAGAGGCCAAGGCATGCTGATGCATGCTCTAGGTTTAAGGTCTGAAAACTTTTTCTGTAGAGGGACAGACAGACTTCAAAGACCACATACGGTTTCTGTAGAATGTTCTTTGTTTATTTCACAGTGCTTTACAACTGTGAAAACCACATTAGCTCAAGTCTGCATGTAGCCTGTAGGTAGTTCTTGAAGTGTGGTTCCATAACCACAAGCATCAGTATCACCTAGAAGTGTGTTGAAAATCCTAGTTAATGAACACTAGCCCAGACCTTCTGAATCAGAAACTCTAGGGAGGGGTTTTAGAGCCACTGCTTTGGAGGGCACACAGTTTGAAGGTGGACTGTGTGGTCTATGAACGCAATACTCCCAGAAAGAGAAAGGTAGGAGGGAAGGAAAGAGACAAGAGGAAACTATTGTCTCTCTCCTTCCCTCCAGCCAACAGGCCACGGGGTAAAAGTAGTGACTGTGGTCAACTGTGCTGACACACTGGAGGAAGCATGCCTTTGTTTCCTACACTGATGGGCCTTTTTTCCTCCCCAAGAATCGTATTGGGGGACATTTTGGTACCTTTCTCTGAGGAGCCTGTTGTTGCTTAAGCTTATTTCTCTGGGAGTTATTCTTTCCAGATTTAGGTATAATGATTTGTAAGTTTTCAGTAAGAAGTTGGCCTGGGCTGGGCATGGTGGCTCACGCCTGTAATCCCAGCACTTTGGGAGGCTGAGGCAGGTGGATCACGAGGTCAGGAGTTTGAGACCAGACTGGCCAACATAGTGAAACCCTGTCTCTACTAAAAATACAAAAAATTAGCTGGGCATGGTGGCAGGCACCTGTAAGCCCTGCTACTCGGGAGGCTGAGGCAGGACAATCGCTTAATGGGTTACCCAGGAGGCAGAGGTTGCAGAGAGCCAAGATAGTGCCATTGCACCCTAGTCCAGGTGACAGTGCAAAAACTCCATCTCAAAAAAACAACTAAAACACCAAGTTGGCCTGGCCCTTTGTGGAGGCTTTGTGCACTTCGAAGTTTTATTCTATTTTTCAATCGTCTTTTCTGCTTTTCTTCTACTCTGGAAAGGCAACAAAGTCAGGTGGTAGGAAGACAAATGATGGTCTGAAAAAGAGAGGATGGAAGCCTTTCCCCACTTTTGCTCTTCCCAGCCCCAAAGCTTGGAAGTATCTTAGCCGCTTGTGCTTAGTCACGAAGTAATAAAACAACCTACTATTTTTTATTTTAAAAAAGGAAAAGAAAAAAAAATATAATAAGCCTAGTACAACAAAGCATCCTGCTCCAGTGTCTAATCCTCACGCTTGGCTGAATTTCTGAAACAATGCTGCTATCCTGTTTCTAAATCAGTTCAGAATCCATGTAAGAACACTAGATTCTGAGACTGGCTGGTTGTTTTCAACAGCCCAGACCATGTATGAAGAAACAGGAGCAGCTCTCTACCCAATGAAATTCTAAGGCCAGAAAAATAACACACAGTTTGGGAACTGGGCATAACAAAAAAACCTGACATTAGCATGTACAAAATATGGGAGATGAAAGTCCTAATGTAAAGGCATCTTCTTGGTCCTGATTTTCTTTCCTCTCTGCATTTAAAGAGACAAGTGGCCACCTATGTTCTACCTTCTGAATACTCTCTTACATCATGGTTTTTCAAGACTTTGGTGCAAGTAGCTTTGTGGTCACCCCCCTCCCACTTTTTTTTTTTTTTTTTTAAATCTTCTTGCACTCCTTAAATATAGGTATTTGTAAGGATGTGTCCTTGACACACACCTCTTCTCCTTTCACCTTGACAACCTCAACTAGGTTCAAACATAGTCTATTTCAGTTTTGTTTTCATTTAATTAAAAAATACTATTTTATTCCTTTGCCACTTATGAAAATTTTCCACATTACTAGATATTCATGTAAAATATTTTTAGTAACTATAGAACATTACATTGTATGGATATATTTTTTTCCAATCTAGGGACAACATTGAGTCTACCTACCTAAAACTGCATAATACTAGTAAGCAGTAGCTATGTTATAAGTCTAGTGAAAATACTGGAAACCTAGAAATTGTTTTTTTTTGGCTGTATAAGGCAGAGAAGATAGTCTTGGATCTGCTCAAGATAAGGAGTTGGAACTGAGATAAAGCTGGATCACTTGGTTATACCTTGAGTGAAAAGATAGGCTAAGAAAAACATCTGCCTGATGGCACAAGAAGCAGCAATAATTTGTCTGCTTCAACTTCAGCTTCAGGTAGAGGTAAAGTCTCCCTCTTTTGATAATTTATATTTACAGCCCTACCCTTATGCAGGTTTGAAGTTTGAATTTACCCTACCTGCAAGTCTAGGAAACTATAAGCCAAAGAAAACTCAAAGTAGTCCTGGATTGTTGTTCCATATGGAACTTGGCAAAAGCAAACACCATTATCCTATTGAGGAGAACAAAGAAGACCTACCAGAGAGCATAGAAGACACAACCTAAGCCTCCCAATATTCCTGATGATTAAGGTCAATCAAATATAAGCACACCATTCAAAATGACAAAACATATAAGGAATTAAGTCACCATAAATAAGTCAATAGAACCAATAAATAGCATCATTGTTCTTCAGGGACTTCAGATACTGGCATTATCAAACATAGAACATAAAATAACATTTGAAGAGTTTAAAGTAAAGCAAGAGCTAAAAATACAAGCAAGGAAAAAAGATCATAAAAACTAACCAGCCTGGGCCAGGGATGGTGGCTCACACCTGTAATCCCAGCACTCTGGGAGGCTAAGGCAGGTGGATCTCTTGAGGCCAGGAGTTTGAGACCAGCCTGACAAACATGGTGAAACCCTGTCTCTGCTAAAAATACAAAAAGTAGTGCTCGCTTCGGCAGCACATATACTAAAATTGGAACGATACAGAGAAGATTAGCATGGCCCCTGCGCAAGGATGACACACAAATTTGTGAAGCGTTCCATATTAAAAAAAAAAAAAAAATACAAAAAGTATCTGGGTGTGGTGGCGGGTGCCTGTAATCCCAGCTACTTGAGAGGCTAAGGCACAAGAATCATTTGTGCCCAGAAGGCAGAGGTTGCCGTGAGCGGAGATGGTGCCACTGCACTAGCAGGAAGAAAATTACAAATTCTCCAGAGACACATGGCATTTTAAATGAGTACAACAATAATTAAAAGGTATTAGAATGAAGTAGGAAAGAAACTGACTATGGGTATGTATACCTACACTACACTTGATCTTAGCCAAGCCTGAGAAGTGATGTATATACATACGGATATGTGGAAATTTAGTCTACCATGTTTCAAATCAATGGGAAAACAATGAATTAGTTAATAATGGTACTGAGCCATCTTATCAGATATATTATAAAAAAATTATTTATTTAACACCAGATAGATTTCAGTAAGATACAGGCTTAAAATTAGAAGCAGCAGCAGCAGAAGAAGAAGAAGAAGAAGAAAAAGAAGAAACAACAATATATAAGTGATAAATGCACAACAGGAAAATTTAGATAATTTTAAAAAATCACCTTGGAACAGGGAAGATCTTTCCAACCACATCACAAAGGAAAAGACCGGTTCAGACTTAACAATATAAAAACAACATGAGATCAGGCTTGCCATTTTAAGATCTTTTTTCTCCTCTTCTCTTGAAAGCTATCTCAAACAACAAGGAAACAAGAAACACAAATTCTATCTTTGATAATACTAAGAGATTTGTAACCCCAAAACACAATTAATGAAGACAGCTAGCAGATGGAGTGCCTGTTAAACCTTTATGGTTGTGCCAGGAGACACCAATGAAAAGCAAGCCAAATTACCCTGCAGAATCCTGAAAAGCCTCATAATTGGAGATAGTAAGTACCCAGAAGTGCAGGAAGGGAAGAAAATAAGAGAACTCTAAAATACCGAAAAACCAAAATTTAACTTCCAGTTTTCCTTCCTCTGTTGCACAGTCAGGTATCCATTGTACCTGTACCCACCATAGGAGACAGGATTGGTCTTTGGAAATACTGAATCAGAAATGTTCCAGACTCAGGGGACATCTCAGAGTAGGATGGGAGTCCGGAAACATGGATTAAGGCCAGGCACTGTGGTTCACACCTATAATCCCAGCATCTTGGGGAGGCCTAGGTAGCAGGATTGCTTGAGCCCAGGAGTTTGAGACCAGCTTGAGTAAGATAGTGAGACCTCATCTTGACAAAAAAAATCAAAAATTAGCTGGGGATAGTGGCATGTGTGTGTAGTCCTAGCTACTTGGGAGACTGAGGTAAAAGGATCACTTGCGCTGGGGAGGTCAAGTCTGCAGTGAGCTGTGATTGTACCACTGTACTCCAACCTAAAGGACAGAGTGAGACTCCATCTCAAAAAAAAAAAAAAAAGTAAAATAAAAATATGGATTAAGTGAAAGTCTGCATAGCAAATGCCTACACTCAGCTTATAGTTCCTTGAGACAATACCTACAAATATTAACATCTGGGAGTCCCCAATTTAAAAAATGACCAGCTATTCTGATTATGCTACAGTTTAGCACAAGAACTGAGAAGCCCACTCATATGTGCAGCCTGATCTAACAGTTTTGTAATAACTCACTCTCATATGATATAAAATCAAATATTTAAGACAAGCTTTCACTGAAAAAAGGAAAAGAAAACACAAAATAATATAGAAAATACAGACAACATAAGAAAACTTCAAAAGCACTACATAGACTACTTTAGAGTGATAAGATATTGCAGCCATGAAATAAGAAATTAGAGAATAAAAACTCCAGAAATTAAAAATTATAGCTGAAATAAAAGGGTTGAAAAAAATCAAGCTATCTCTCAGAAAAAGGCCAAGAGACAAAGATGGATCATTAAAAAAATGAAAAGAATCAGACTGGCACTAGACTTCTCAAAAGTAACATTGGAAGCTAGTGGATAAATTCTAACTGAAAATGATTTTCAGCATAACTCTATGTTGAGTTTAACTTTTTCTTTTTCTTTTCTCAAGAGACAGGGTCTTACTTTGTTGCCCAGGCTGGAGTAGTGCAGTGGCAGTATCAGAGCTCACTGTAACTCAAACTCCTGGGCTCAAGCAATCCTCCTGCCTCAGCCTCTGGAATAGTTAGGACCACAGGCACATGCCACCATGCCAGGCTAGTTTTTTTTTTTTTTTTTTTGTAGAGTTGGAATCTATGTTGCCCAGGTGAATCTCAAACACCTGACCTCAAGCAGTCTTCCTGCCTTGTCCTCCCAAAGTGCTGTGATGAGAGGTGTGGGCAAGTGTGCCCAGCCTCCTTCAATATTTTACAGTAAAATAAACATGAAATTTGTCAAGTCTCCAAATATTCACTGATTATATTCTCTATTAGGAACTTTTTAGAGGATATGCTGCATGAAACAAAAAGAATTAAGATAGAGGAAAGCCAGGATCCGAGAAGACAACAGATCTAACAGGAGAGGAGTGAAAAGGCTTCCCAGGATTGTGGAGAAGGAAGCCCCAGGACAAGAACTGTGCCTCAGGCCTAGAGAGCAAACAGTTCATATTGGAATAGGCAAAAGGAAGGTTCTACAAGACAGGTTTCCAAGACAGATTGTTTAATTGTATAGACAATTTTAAACAACAGATTGTTTAATTGTATAGACAATTTTATTAAGTGGCATTTTACAAAGGTGTGGAGGGGTTGGGACTTAGCCAGCAAGTCAAAAAAAAAAAAAAAAAAAAATCAAAGCAAATGAAACAATGTGGTAAGTTTTAGCTCTGGGCCAAAAAAGGAAGATAAAATACTGTTTAAGAAAGAAAATGTGGAGAGCTTGGTTCCTCCCGGGTTTCTCCCTGTAGCTTCTGGGTTGTTGATGTTTGGACTCTTGTGAAGATGGCTTGCGCTGCCCCACCGTCCCTGGCCAACCAGGACAGGTTTATTTGTATCTATCCTGCTTATTTAAATAATAAGAAGATCATCACAGAGGGAAGGCGAATCCCCATAAGTAAGGCTATTGAAAATTCTACAGCTACAGAGATTCAAGATGTATGTTCAGCAGTTGGACTTAATGTATTTCTTCAGAAAAATAAAATGTACTCTAGAGAATGGAATTGCGACATCCAATACAGAGGCACAGTCTGGGTCCAGCTCCAACAAGATGGCAGCCTTTGCCTTGTACAGTTCCCATCACATTATACACTAAGCCTAACTTCTGGTTCCTGGGTAAGTCAGTAATGCTGTATGTAGCAGAAATGATACCCAAACTAAAAACAAGGACACAAAAAACAGGAGGTGGTGACCAAAGTCTTCAACAAGGAGTAAGAAGTAAAAAAGGGAAAGGAAAGAAAAAGGAGCAACCTAGGATCAGCATCAAGTATGTGGTACTATTTAGAAGACATGAATGGAGGCTTCTAATTTGTATCAGAGGAAAAGAGAAGCTTTATGTTTGCATCATTGAACTGAACTGTGAATACTTGTGCCTCTCATCTTTATCATCAGAGCAGACAGTGAAAAAAATTTCCATCAGAAGTTTGCATCTCGCTTTTATGCAGTATAAAAGACTTTTTTGTCTTTCAGTGCAGGTTTTTTTGGGAAGAAAGAATATTTTTAAATGGAGAATGGACTGTACAATAAGTTACTTGAAATAAGTTACTTGTTTCAGATAAATTTCAATTAGATTTGAAATAAACATTTGGTATATGTTTTAAGTTAATGAAATTAAATTTGAAACTGAAAAAAAAAAAAAAAAGAAAGAAAAAGTGATCAGAGTACACTACCTGGCTAAGTAAAATAAAAAAGGAAACACTAGAAACAAAGTACAAGACAGTTGGGGGGAAATAGGGGAGGGACAGTCGGGGGTGGGAAGTTGGGGAGAGATAGCAATGGGAGAGATGCCAGATGTAGGTGATGGGAGGAAGGCGGCAAATCACACTGCCACATGTGTACCTATGCAACAATCTTGCATGTTCTTCACATGTACCCCAAAACCTAAAATGCAATAAAATAAATGGAAAAAAAAAAAAAAGAAACAAAGTACATGAAAGTTATTGTATACGAGTAGAAAAAGCATAAGTAATTTTTACCTTCTATCATATATACCCCTATAAAATAAGGGCTGAGGCCAAGTGCCTTCAGGTGTACAGTTCAGAAACACAAGAGATTAACTTCTAGAGGAGCAAAATCTTGAATGCTTCTCCCTGGTTACTGAGTCTACTCCATTCTAAGGGGTTTTAAGCCCATGAGAAACTGGCTACATGATTAGGTTACAAATAGATAATAAGGCAACTTACTTATCACCATCTTAAGGCATTCAGGATTGTCTTGAATAAGTGGTTCAGCTTGTACTGTTTTACTTAAGAAATTCTTTGATATAAGAGGAAACCTGACTTTAGCAAGGATATCAACCATAAATGGCTGGCGATTAGGTTCATCGTATTTCAACCACCTGACTGCAGCATCATAAACCTAAGGGGGAAAAAACAGCACAGTAAAGTTCTTAGAAGACAGCAACATTTCCAATTATCCATGTTTATTCTCACATTGAAGGGAGAGGACCTCATAAGGAGACAATCACTTATTCCTAATATTTTTCATCCCTGGACGCTTGCTGGTACTTCAGAACAGTTTACATACTGCTCTAGTAAGTCTTGTAGGTAACATGTTTTTTAGAACTAACTACTATTATGTAATGTAATGACAGGGAAGATGTTAAATTTATGATTAAAAAAAGATAGCTTCCTTTTCAGACAAAGACATGATATACATTGCAGTGAAAAAAACAAACAAACAAACAACTATCAGTCATTAAAAGTTTCAACATACAACACTCATTTAGTTTAGGACCAGGAAAACAGGTTAATTTCTCAAGAGGCCATCCATTCTGGCAGATATGAAGATCACCCATGATTTTATTTCAATATTAAATTCCTGCATTATGAATTGATAGACTTATCAACCTTCTAGAAACTTTAAGATATAAAGAATTCAATACTTAAAAATTACAGGATATTTAAAAGAATTGTTTTCCAAAATAATACTGTAGTTTCATTTAACTACACTGAACAACTCCAAGTTCATCAACATAATTTAACTTACAAATCATTAAACACCCCCCAAAATCAATTACTTCATATACATACACATCTCCCATACACAATCAATTTTGGGGTGATGTTTAAACTAAATTAATTTTGGGGTGATATTAATAAGATCCAACTTTTAATCTCTTTGAGTTAATTTTTTATGGGAATTATTTTTTTTTTTTTGAGACAGAGTCTTGTACTGTCATCCAGGTTGTAGTGCAGTGGTGCGATCTTGGCGCAATCTTGGCTCTCTGCAAGCTCCGCCTCCTGGGTTCAAGCAATTCTACTGCCTCAGCCTCCAGAGTAGCTGGGACTACAGGCTTGCGCCACCAAGCCCAGCTAACATTTTTGTATTTTTAGCAGAGCAGGGGTTTCACCATGTTAGCCAGGACGGTCTCCATTTCCTGACCTCATGATCTGCCCGCCTTGGCCTCCCAAAGTGCTGGGATTACAGGCGGGAGCCACCGTGCCCGGCTGGGAATTAATCTTTTTTTTTTAAACAATTCTTTTTGTTTTAGAACAGTTTTAGATTCACAGAAAAGTTGCAGAGATAGATAGCATAAAGAGTTTCCATATACCCTGCAACAGTTCTTAAGATGCTGCTTTAGTATGGTATATTTGTCACAACTAATGAACCAATATTGATACATTTAACTAAATTTCATATTTTGGGGGAATTTCCTTAATTTTTATCTAGTGTTATTTTTCTGTTTCACAATAACATAAAGGACACATTACATGTCGTCATTAAACCTTAGAATCTTCTAGATCGTGAGTTTTTCAGCCTTTCCTTGTTTCTGACAACCCTGACAGTTTTGAGTTCTGGTCAGGTATTTTGTTGAGAATGTCCTTCAATCTGGGTTTGTCTGATGTGTTACTTACTAGACTGAGGTTGTGGTTTTTTAGGAGGACAATCAGAGAGGTGAATGCCATTTTCATTACATCAAGTGTGCATATTATCAACATGACATCACAGATGATGCTAATGCTGACCACCTGTAGGTAGTGTTTATCACATTTCTCCAGTGTAAAGTCATTTGTTATTCCTTTTCCATATTACATATAAGTCAACTAATTTTGATCACAGAAGTAAATCTAAGGCCAGGCGCGGTGGCTCAAGCCTGTAATCCCAGCACTTTGGGAGGCCAAGGCGGGTGGATCATGAGGTCAAGAGATCGAGACCATCCTGGTCAACATGGTGAAACCCCGTCTCTACTAAAAATACAAAAAATTAGCTGGGCATGGTGGTGCGTGCCTGTAATCCCAGCTACTCAGGAGGCTGAGGCAGGAGAATTGCCTGAACCCAGGAGGCGGAGGTTGCGGTGAGCCGAGATCGTGCCATTGCACTCCAGCCTGGGTAACATGAGTGAAACTCCACCTCAAAAAAAAAAACAAAACAAACAAAAAAAAAACGTAAATCTAGTGAGGCCCTCCAGGTCCAACCCGTCAACTTGCAAATGGGCAAAAGAATATTGCTAAGTGCAAATTTTTGTTTTTAGAACAAAAGTAACTTAAAACATATGATCTTATAGTACCTATTATTAGTTTTCTGTTGCTGCTATTAACAAATTGCCACCAACTTAGTGGCTTAAAATACAGAGAAGGCTGTGGGGCTGAAAACAGAGATTAAGTGAGTCTACATAGTAAAGTATTCCCACAGCTAGGTGCGGTGGCTCACGCCTGTAATCCCAACACTTTGGGGGCCACGGTGGGCAGGTCACCTGAGGTCAGAAGTTCAAGACGAGTCTGGCCAACATGGTGAAACCTCATCTCAATTAGCCGGGCATAGTGGCACATGCATGTAATCCCAGCTACTTGGAAGGCTGAGGCATGAGAATCGCTTGAACCCAGGAGATGGAAGTTGCAAAGAGCCAAGATCACACCACTGTACTCTAGACTGAGCAACAGAGCAAGACTCCATCTCTAAATAAACAAATAAAGTGTTCCCCCACCCAGCTCCCACATGACTGCACCCAGCTTACACTTCTGACAGTTTATCTGACAATTCTATAGGTCAGAGCCCAAAATGGGTCTCGATGGACTAAAACCAACATGTCTGCCTGGAGACTCTATAGGAGAAACCATTTCCTTGCCTTTTCCAGCATCTAGCAGCTGCCTGCATTCCTTGGCTTATGGTCTCCTTCCACCTTCAAAGACAGCAATGGCTAGTCAAGTCTTTCTCACAGTGCACCACTTAATGCTGCCCTTTTTTGCATCCCTCTTCCAAATGTAAGGCGCTTTACAATTACACTGGACCCACTTGGATAATCTCATCTCAAAATTCTTAACTCAGTCACATATGCAAAGTCCTATCTGCCACATAGGTAATATATTCTAGATACTGGGGATTGGGAAGTGGACATCTTTGGGGATGGTATTGTTCTGCCTACCATGGTACCCAATGGTTTCATCTCTATGAAGTGGCCTCTTTCTCAAACAGCCAGCCTGGCAAGCATCTAAGATTGCAATACTCACTGTTTAGTGTAAAAAACATATTCTTTCCTAATAGACTCTTTCTCTTGCCATGTGTCCAAACATGAGTTATAAGAAATCAATAAAGTCATTTTTATTAAGAAAAATGTAAGAAGGCACTTTAGTCACCTGATCCTCTGCTCTCACAGTCAGAGTGTCCTGGTTGAGAAGATGTGTTACTCGCTTGACATCAAGTTGAAGAAATTCATCAGTTTTGTAAACTTCAGTAAAATGCTGATGAATAAAGTCATCTGCAGTTGCTTTCAATTCAGGACAATCTAGACACTCTGCTAGCACACTTATACCTAAACCCAGAAAGAAAATAAAAGAATACAAAATCATTTTTAGAAAAACCAAGTATACATTCAAGATGAAACATGACTTCAGGAAAATTAGTTGAATAAATTTTATAAATATGGATCCTTTTCTGTTTCATTGATTTGTCTATTCTTATGCCAATACTATACTGTCTTATAAAGAACTGGTTTTTATATTCTGTAGGAAAAGCCCCCCTCAATGATTTTTCAAACTTTTCTTGGCTACTGTTAAACATTTCCTCTTGCAGACCAATTTTAAAATAAGCTTATCACAGTCTACTTTACAAAATCTCGATGTGATATTTATCAGAATTGCACTGAATTTTTGGATTACTCTGGGACAACTTCTACAGCATGGAGGAGCTCTATATAAAAACATGACATACATCAAATTTATTCAGACATACACTTTTATATCAGAAGTCTGCAAAGTCCTATTCATGGGGAAAATCTAGCCCATAGCCTGTTCTGTAGGGTCAACAGCTAAGAACAGTTTTTACATTTTTTTGAAAGGTTGTTTAAAAAAAAAAAAAAAAAGTAGTAGGAGAGAAGAGGAAAGTAAAGATGGAAAGGAGGAGAGATAAGGACCACATGTGGCCCATAAAGCCTAAAATATTTACTTTTCTGGTCCTTTACAGAAAATGTTTGCTCCCTCTTCTATACAAAACTATGAATTATTTTTGTATGTGATCTTGCAGCAGGCATCCTTAATCATGTTGACTTTTTCAATTCATTATCTGTTTTTCCATGTTTCAATTTCACATTGTCTTCATTTAATGAATTTTGATGTTTTCCTATTTGCACCATAAAGGTTCTCAAAGCTGATGCTTGCTATCAACTTAAGATTAGCTGGCATTTTCCACCTCCTTTGTAAAATGTACTAACCAATGCCATGACATGCTTGAT